GCGATCTTGACCAAACCTAGTATGCTGGTAGACCTTGATCCCCTAAGTAACCACCTGCAATATTATTTGGTAAACTCTTTTAGTTCCTGAGATATGAACATCCAAAATTGGAATTTCGACTTACAATTAGTCCATGAAGAAACGGATTTTGACTTACCCAATCAAGATAAGAGCGACTTTTTTTCTTTCAGAAATTTTGCTGGTACAAAATCTGTGACCACTTCTTGTTTTGCCTGAAGAAACTATGAAACTTTTCCTTAAGAAGTGTCCTTATATACAGTGTGTCCGCGCTAAAGTGTGACAGACGTTTTCTTTCGTAACTATTCATGATAGGAAAAATTGTTTATATGGAAATTGCACGGTACAAGGGGGCCTATGTTTTGGCGTGAACGAAAATTTATTTACATTATTAGTTTAAAAGATATGATCGTCAAGTTTCGTTTTTTAAATGGAACTATATATTTTTTTTTCAGATCATGTGATAGTGCTTTTCAAGACGAATTCATTAAGCTTTAATGTATACCCCCGATTTTAATTAGTTTTCAAGATATAACGTTTACAAATTTCCCGATTTTCAGTAGATACGTTTCGGTTTGAGTGTCAAGTCGTAAAAGCGACCCTATTGTTGCGGTTTCTTATTCTTTGGGTCTGCCGTTCCTAGCGTAGACCCGCGCTGAGGCACTGACCGCTACACTTTTACGACTTGCCACTCAAACTGAAACGTATCTACTGAAAATCAGAAAATTTGTAAACGTTATATCTTAAAAACTAATTAAAATCGGGTGTATACATTAAAGCTTAATGAATTCGTCTTGAAAAGCACTATCACATGATGTGAAAGAAAATATATAGTTCCATTTAAAAAACGAAACTTGACCATCATATCTTTTAAACTAATAATGTAAATAAATTTTCGTTCACGCCAAAACTTGAGCCCCCTTGTACCGTGCAATTTCCATATAAACAATTTTTCCTATCATCAATAGTTACGAAATAAAACGTCTGTCACACTTTAGCGCGGACACACTGTATATGTGATAGTTTTCGAGATATAATTTTTCTGCTGTAAAAACTTCAAGGGGTGATTTCACCCCATAAACTTGTGATTGGGCTGCTACGAAAAAAAAGTGTCCCTTATTTTTACCTTGTAACCGATCTATGTACCCATCAATCCGCCACATAATGTAGGGGCCCTAAGGCGCCCGCCCTTCCACTGTATCAGGGCAGGATACGCGCAAGCGCGAGATTCCCCTTCGCTGCCGTGGGTACGGAGCGAGGTGCCTGCTGATCGACAGGACGAGCACTTGTCGTCGAGGCTCCAATGCGAACAGACGCATACCAGACTCAGGTAGAATCGATCGAGAAATACGCACTCCTCGCAAGCCAGCCAGGTGTTACAAGACTCCGTACTCTGGCCTTTCTTCCGAGACTGCTCTCATGCCCCACACGCAACCCGAAGCAGCTTTCCCGATCAACCGGACTCGTGAGAGTCCGAGCGAGTGAGGAACCTGCATAAGCGAGCGGTGCGGGATGACCGAGACAGTCGGTGCTCCCGGGTAAATCAGAATAGGAAATTACTGGAACTCGACTTCAGGTCTCCCGATTAAATATAAGAGCGAGAGCGTAGAGGTATGTTAAGCAGCGTAAATTTCCGCGAGCGTAACGGTCGGACAGTCTGTTTATGTATAGAAACGCGAGCGTCAAGGACGCACCGTTCCGATAATCGTATAGGATCTCGCAGCGCGAGCTTAACGGTCGCGGGTATTGGATTTCGCGAATAAGAACCGCGTCGTCAAAACCGTCACGAGCCGGACGAAATAAACAACTTTGTCAACCAGTTTTCACTTAAATCTTGAGTGTCATTTTGTCATTCCCCGCCACCGTAAACTCCTTAGCAACCCACTCTCGAAGTGAGAGTGCGGTTACAACCTGCTTTATATATCAACCAAGTTTCATCAAAACCGGAGACAGACAGTTCGATATGTTTCCTTGTGAGTGAGTCAGTGGATTTCGCTTTTATACAGGGTGTCCCTGGTTGAGGTACAGGGTTGAAACTTGGTGTACCATGGTTTTTTGGGATAAGCTATCGAATGGTGCATTGCGAAGTAAAATCGGCTCAAGGGCACTTTTGACCATCTTATCCTGCTATACCCTTTGGTATTTTTTTAACTAAACAATTCTTAATTATAATATGGTATAGTTTCTTTATTTTTTTTGTACAAAAATGTAAATTATCTCTATAAATTCAAAATCGCAGATGATCTGACATCGCGGGCCGCATTTCTAGGGTTTGTGGGCCGTACTGTAGAAATCCCTGCGGTAGATCTAATATTTTATTTGATGTATTTGTAGGAAATGCGCTTCCCCTCCAATTTCAATAATTTGTAAATATGTTGTAAAATTCGTTATTTCAAGCAACTTTTTTCACATTAAAAACCAATATAACATCATGTATATTGTTATTTCTAACATGTAGTAGTAAAGGGTTAATAATTACAGAACCAGCCCGAGCACCAGGCAAACAAGACACATGCCCCGCACTCAGCGTTTGAATACTTTCAAAATACTATGAAATTAATTAAATTTAAAAATATCAAATTAACAAATTTTACAGTAAGCGCCCCCGCAGCTGCAGACTTTCTATCAGCCGATAGTTTGGTCGGGTTGGCGGTTAACGCGCACACTAGGCCAACTAAATACTCGGGTTGGTGAAAGAAAAAACAGGGTGGAAAGAGATGGATAGTTTAGTTTGAATGCAATCGTGTAGCCCATCAAACTTATTTATCGGCCGATACCGAATCGTTGTAATATGCGCACTTGCATACATCTTCATACTGATTAAGGGGGTAGACACGGCACGTGACCTCTCCGATTTTGGACGTCGGTATTACAGCAGTTTTTTCGTTGGGCCTGGTGAAGCCACTTGCGTGTTTTGTTACGAACTTGAAAGGTTTAATTCTCAGCTAGCGTGCGCGCAACACGATCTAGGAAGGCAACATCGTCTCAAGTATTTTTACAAACACATTCAAACGCTCATCTCGCCAGAGGCATCGCGACAATACGGCTGAAGAACAAAATCGAAACATTGACGCGTGTTTAGAGTGAGATGTACGGTGATCATGCTATCCTTCTTTGAACCTAAATGATAGAATTGTCCCGCTCCGGTAAATTCTGACTGACTGAACGCGTGGATTTTATATAGCGAACCGTAGCACGCCTTGCTGCTGAAAAATATATGCCTACTCTGAAGAACCGAAGGAACGTGCAATCTGAGAATTTTTTGGAAAAAAATGTTTTTTAATTCATAAAAGCATACAGCGTGCGTCACGCAATTGGGACGGGTTATATCTTGAATTTGGTAAGAGATAGGAAAAAGCTGTTCATGTAAAAGTTCAATGGTATGATAATGTTTATTTTTCTATGACTTCATTTTCTTCGTGAATGCAACGATGCACTAAAAAAATGCAGATGCACTTTTTATTTAAATAGAATTGCATTTTTTTCTTTACTCGTATCAACTCCTTGAAACATTCTGCATAAAAAAATACTGTTAGAACTTGTTAGGTATATTCAAAATTTGTATTTGTCGCGCACTCTCTCGAACATTCTAACGTCTGGAGTATAAAAACGTAAACACCGAGCATAGTTCAGTTGAAATCCAACTACCATGACTGACGGGTAAACGAACCGTGAGAGTGCCCTTTTGTATAATTTCGTTATATTTTATGTGTGTATTGATAGAATAAACGTTTTGTTTCTTTCGTTCTTTTCTTCAACTTGTTGTACATTTTGATCTGCGCAAACAGAACTAATAAATGGAGAGGCCTCGGCTCTTTCTTTCCTCTCCCCTCGCTACTATTCCCTCTCACTATTATAACTCGTCCCAATTGCGTGACGCTTGTATTTTGAGAAACCTATAGTAACTTTGTTTTTACGAAACTAATAAAAAATACAAAGGAGTCAATATTCTGAGTGAATGCAAATAATTTAAATAAATAAATTTCTCGTATACAACTTATATAAACGTTTGCAGAATTATTGCAAAGAGGAGGTATATTCTTCTCTTGTTATACCTCCTCTTTGAGCGAGGTTTGTTATGGGGTACTGTGAAAAATCCAGGCGGGCGTCAGTCAAAATCTATCGAAAAGGGAATCTCAACATTCAGAATGAGAGAAGGACAAAATGACTGTAGTGCGTCTCACTCGGCGTTGTTGCCTTTTTTGCTTGCTTTCGCTTGCCTTCAGTCGAGTGACGTAACCAAGCTAACGCCTGATTTTGGCTACGATTCCAAATCGGCAGCCTTCTTAGTTAGACGCCACCTTATAACTACTAGCTGAACTGAATTTGTCACATGAATTGCTCTGTATTATCCACAAAATGGCGGAACTGGTCTGTGAGAATGCTTTTACGGGCATCCGTTATTCGTCCTTATTTCGCAACAAATGAAGACAAAATAGATCTTAATTTACAGGTAAGGGTTGTGGCTAGACCGCTCAACTCATGATTTCAATCACAGCACTCTTTTAGTGGCCTAAAAATGCTTCGAATCCGCGAATGCATTTTGTCGATTTTTTACCCCTACTTTGGACGCTTATATTACTAAACATCAACATAATCCCACTGAAACATGAGTTGAGCGGTGTGCATTGGACCTTCCTCTTTCGAATAAGCCCTCACCCAGCCCTAAATGTTGTCATACAAGGACGAATAACGGAAGCGCGTAAACCCATCTTTATGCCCATTTTTGCCGGTAATGTCAACGCGCTACTATTACCCCTTTAAGAACCCAACCAAACTATCGGCCGATAGAAAGTCTGCAGTCTGCGGGGGCTCTAAAGGACAAATACAAAATAACGTCTTATGCTGTAGTTTTAATAGAATAGATTTTAAGGTTATCTGTTTCTAATTAAATATTTTCAATAATTTCGTCATTCGCCATGCTCCTTTCAACCCTTGGAGAGTTCTGAATAATTATCTAACTATCATTTTATAATTTACAGTTTTCAATCTATGATTAGTTGAATTCTTGAAGAACCCTAAACCAAAATGGCGACATATTTGGAAATTTCCTGCGGCTTCATAGCAGTGTTTCTTGCACTATACTACTATTTCACGTCGACCTTTAATTATTGGAAAAAACGTGGAATTAAAGGTCCAGAACCCATACCAGTGTTTGGCAATATTATGGCACCAATGTTAGCAAAGCAGTCATTAGCAGACTTCCTAATGAATCTTTACAAGAAATACAAGAACGAACCAATGATTGGAATATTCGTAAAAAGAGAACCTATTCTAATTATTCTTGATCCTGATATCATCAAGGATGTCCTTATCAAAGATTTCTCCAAATTTGCAAACCGTGACTTCACGATACATGAAATAGTAAGTAATAAATGTACTTTTAAAAAGATTTCTATACTGAATTTTTGCTTATACTAACAACTTTGACAACTCTTTATTACGGTATGTACTATTATTTGTTATAGATAGATAACTTTATTTCTTGCCTTTCGGCTTTGAAATGGGGTTTGGCTCGTGATTGCCCCTACAATATTTTATAAATTATATACAATAAGATGATACAATATTGCCCGTAAACTTCAGGTCTTCTGTCTCTGGTCTATCTCCTTCCTTCTTCGGATTATTTCCCTCATCCATTTTCTCCCGTGTTCTTGTCCCTGCAAAATATTCCACCTTGTTGATTTATTATCCCTTCCCACTTCCCAACATTCTTTTAACAAGTGTTCTATTGTCTCCTCTCCTTCTACACACATTCTACAGACGTTGTCCTCTTTATTTTTCCAGTATCTATTGCCTCTTTCTTCATTCCTACATCTAAACCTTGCAATCATTGACTGATCCCTGCCTTTATATTTTGCTTTCAGATAATAAGCTCGGTTTTTCTCCCTTATTCCTTTGTATTTTCCATTATACCTTCCTACTACTATTATGTCGTAAAAAGATTTGCACTGTTCTGCTCTGTCTAACTGTTGCAGATTTTCTGCTAGCATTAGGTCTCCCGTACATCTAGATTTAACGTCCTGTATCTCTATACCTTTCTCTTCATAGTACAGTAATGCTTCGAAATAAGCAAGTCGCTATCCCCTCTTCTTTGTTTGAAGTCGCCCGTAAAGTGAGAGGTACGAGAAACGAGTGAGAGGTCCATGAAAGCGTGAAGCCGATGTTTAGGGTAATAAATTTCACGCTCGACTGAGCAGTGACATCGGTTAGTAGAAGAAGGATGGAATATATATAATGCTTTCTCAGTCTGGTATATTTTCTTCGAAATAAAGCATAGTGCGAGAATGAGAGGGCATGTTATATTCTATCCTTGTCCAAAAAATAACATCGCTGCTCGGCCGATCACTTTATGATTTGCCGCTACCTCGGATCTCTCACTCGTTTCTCGCGTTCTCTATCGTCCCGTTTCGAGAACAAAGTCAAGCCGAATAGCTACCTGCTTCGAAATAAGCAACTGTTCGGTCCCGAGCCACTTGCTTATTTCGAAGCATTACTGTATTGACTTCTCTGATCTTCCTATTTCGATCTTTTTCTCTCGCAGTTTATATCTACCTTTTTCCAGTATTCCAGTATTATCTTGTTTATTCCTTTCGTCCTTATTTTTTCTTCGTATCTCACCGCTCTCCTGCCTGCTTCTATTCTTATTTTGTCCTCTTTTGTTTCGTCCATTACTATGTATGTTGGTGTGTTGAAGTCCAAACCTAATACCCATTTTATGTACTTTATATGTTAATTTTTCGAGTCTCTCCGATTCGCTCCACCCTCATATCTCTGCTGCATACATCACGACGCTTTTCACCAAACTTTCATAGATCTTCATTCTTCTTTCAAAGTTGTTTTTGAATCTCCTTTCTCCTATTCCCCATGTTTGCTTCATCACCATCATCGCCTTTTTCGCTGTTTCTCTCTAGTACATCTCCGTTCCTCCGTTTTTCCGGAAGTGATACCTTAGGTATTTGAAATCTTTTACTTCTTCTAATTCTTCTTCTACCCACTATCATTTTTCCTTTTTTTTCTCGCTTCTTCCTTTCTTGAAAATTATTATCTTCGACTTTCCAGCGTTTAGAATTAACTCTTTTCTTTCAAAATATCTTTTCAGTCTGTTTATCATTTCCTTTAATTCCTGCTGGTGTTTTGCTAATAGTACGATATGTGACCAAATCTTCTCTTTTCCGATCACCATTCCTCCTGTTTGTCCTTCTCTCAACTTCTCTTCCAAGTCCGCCGTATATAGCGAGAATAAAGTAGGGCTTACTGGGCATCCTTGCCTTAATTTTTTCGTTGTCCAAAACTTTTCGGATACTTTCTCATTAACTCTTATTCTATTCTCTGTTTCTTTGTAAATTTCGTTGATTCTCGTTCTTAAAGCATTACTTATTCCTTTTTCCTCCATAATTTTGCTCAGTTTTTTTCTGTTTACTTTATCGAAAACCGCTGTTAGGTCTGCGAAGAAAACATGTAGCTTTCCTCCTTTCTCTTTGATTTCTCTGTTTATCACATTGTTCAGTATAAAAATGTTGTCCATTGTGCTTCTACCTTTTCTGAAGCCTGCTTGCGTCTCTGGTATGAATTTCTTCTCCTCTAGTTCTGCATTTAATCTGTTCTCCAGAATCATCGCATATATCTTGTATGCTGTATTTAGCAGCGTTATCCCTCTGTATTTCTTTACGTCATCCCTGTTTCCCTTCTTAAATATAGGGCTAATTATGCCTCTTTTCCATCTCCTTGGCATTCCGTCTCGTCTCCATACTTTGTTTATCAGTGTTGTGATTCTGGTGAGTACCTTTCTTCCTCCATGTATCCAAACCCCGTTTTCTAGGCAGTCTTCGCCTGCTGCTTTTCTTTTTTTCAATTTTTTAATTTGCCTCTTCACTTCTTGTTCCGTTATAATTTCATTTGAATTCTGCTATTCCTCCGTTTCCTTTAACCTGTTCTTCTTCTTGGTCTTTGTGTTCTTTTCCTACTAATAATTCCATGAAGTGTCTCCTTCAGCCCTGTATGTTTACTTTGTTTGTTATTCCTATTCTTCGTTTCCTTTCCCGGATGATATATTTCGATATTTCATTAGTGTTTTTAATCTGTTCTATTTCTTTTTCTTCTTTCTTCTGTTGTTGATCCTTCTTCTTCTCGCAAAGTTTCTCGACTTTCTCGAGTACCAACCCGTTGATCTTGTGTACCAGCTCCTCCAACATTTCATTTGGATCCTTCGTTTCGAATTCAATTCATTCCACTTCCTTCTGGTACTCTTTCCTTCCTCCGTCCAAAGCCGTTTCTCCTTCCATATCTCTTCTTCTTGCTTCTCTACGCTGGTTTTTCCATATATTTCCAATTTCAGTGATAAATGACATGACTTTATCCTATCTTCTATCCTGAAACTTTTGATGCCTTCTTTAATTGCTGGGTCTATCAGTACATAATCGATTACTGAGCTTCCTTTGCCCCCAATGAAAGTATATTCACCTTCTTCGTCTCCTTCAAAATTACCGTTCATGATCTCCCATCCGTTGTCTTCTACCATTTCTATTAGCCTGTTTCCTTCTATGTTTTTTATTTTGTCTCTCGATTTTCTCGTTTCTTTGTCCTTCCTATCCTCATTGTTAAATGATCCTTCTAAATCTATTCTTGCATTGAAATACCCGCCGATTATAAGTCTTTCTTCTTTTATATCTCCGATTGCATCTTCTATATTCTCTCTCTTCTTTTTCATATCTCTGCTGTATACCGTGATTATTCTCTATATATTACCTTGTATCTCAATCTTCTTTTCTTGTATGTCCAAATTTTTTTCCTGCATATCTCTTTCTGTTATCTTTTTCTTCACTCCTATTATAATGCCTCCGCTCGCTCTACCCTTGTTCTCTTGTTTTTTTGCCAATTGACATTTCCAGTTCAAACTGTCCGGCAATCTGTTCTGTAACCCATTCCATTGTTTCTCGTCTACCCAGGTTTCAGTTAGTCCTACGAAACATTATGTCTCCACGTATTCCCAAAATAGCTCGTCTTTATTGCCTCAGGCCCTAAGGGCCTGAGGCTTTACTCTCCCAGTTGACTCCGTTTTGCGTTGTTACCTTTTTTGTGCAGAGATTTGCGCGGACCTGGACGTTACCATGCAGTTATCATTGGTACCATTGGAAAGAACACGTTTTGAAGTTATGCAAAAATTCTTGATTTTTCAATTCCTATGGCTAGATTTTGAAATAATCTCAAAACCGTTTTAGATGTGTTTTTCGCTATGTTAACAGCTAAAACAAAACTTTTGTGCGAAAATGGTTGAGAAAAAGAAGAAAAAAATGTTGACTATTCCAAATATCTTATTTGGTCACTAGGGCACAAAAAAATCAGAGTATTGTTTTTCCTCAAATTTTGTCTTTTTTTTGCTTTAATTGCACTCGTATGATCGACCTGAGCTGCGATTGATAATGCCGAACGTACGGGCTTGCTTTTGTACGGGCCTTCGGCATTCACCTAAAGTTTAGCCTGCTTACTCTAGGTTTCCTAGTTGTGTAGACCTGCGACAATCCAAAAAACAGTGTCTTATTCATTACCTGCTGCTTGGTTTGTACTTTCCGTTTTCTTTTCTTGTTCTTTTTATTATTGTAATTTCTCTCTCCTCCCCTGTTCATCTTTCCAGACGCGGAAGGAGTGCTACTTATTGTTAGGATCTTATCTTCTGTCGGCTCCAAAATTTTGCCTCTTCAAGTCCTACTCCTTCTTTCCATTTGAAAATCCTGTCATTTATCTTTACCTTTCTGTATCCTATTTTCACGAGTGCTCCCTGTTCTCTCTCCGCTTTCGTAATTCCTAAGATTACCTTCCGCGTTTCTCTTTCGTTTTTCGTTAAATCGTTATCAATGTAAATCTTCTTACCTTTCAGTTTGCCCTTCTTCATCATTATCTTCTTTTTCTGTTGCCAATTTCTTAGCTTTGCTATCAAAATGCTTCCTCTCTTTCCCTTCCTCGTCCAGAAAGCATCCTCTATTTCCACCTCCACTTGCAGATTTTCTGATATTACCTTTACTGCTGTATCTTTCGGTGTTTCACCTCTTGGTAGTTTTTCTCCTTTCAGTGTGATATTGTCTCGTTTCTCTCTTTTTTCTCTTGCCTCCTCTTTTCGCTCTGTCCGGTTTATTCTTTCAATTAATTCGTCCGAATTATCTCTTTTTATTTCTAGATTTTTAATTCTCTTCTGTATTTCTTCCTTTTCTCGCTCCCACGCTTCTTGCTTTCTTTTCCATTCTTCTTTTAATTCTCTTATTTCCTTATTTATGGCTTCATTTTCTATCTTAATATCTTGTGTGTCCTTCTTCACTGTCAATACAAGCTCGGTCAATCTGTCTAACTTGTCCATTTTCATATCTTTG